TCAGGAAAGTGAAAATTTGGGCTGGAGAGATGGCTCAGCGCTTAAGAGCTCTTCTTTACTCTATTAGAGGATCAGAGTTTGGACCCCAGGACCCACATTGAATAGCTCCCAAGTGCCTATAGCTCCAGCTCCAAGGGATCTAATGCCCCCTTCTGATCTTTGTGAGCACCCACACACCTACACACACACATACACATGTGCACAAATAAAAAATAAAATGAATCTTGAAAAAATAAAGTGAAAATTCACACAGAATGGGAGAAAATATTTGCAAATCATATACCAGAAAAGGGCTTTGTATCTAGAATATATGAAGAACTCTTAGATCTCAATCATAAAAAGAAAAATAACTCAATTCAGAGATGCTAATGGAGCCAGGCTTTATGGTGCAGGCCTATAATTTCAGCACTCAGATGTTGAGGCAGGAAAATTATCATAAGTTTCAAGGCAGACTTAGTTACATAGTGAGCCCTGTTTTTTGTTTTTGTTTTTGTTTTTTTTTGTTAAAAAAAACCAACAAAGACAAAGAAAGGGAAGGGGAAAAAAACCAGACATTTCTCCCAAGAAGATGTATGAATGACCAATATTCACTTGAAAAGATAACTCAGTGTCATTAGCTCTCAGGGAAATGCAAATTAAGACCCATATTCAAGGGCTGAAGATACAGCTCAGTTGGAAGAATGCTTGCTTGGCACACACTAGGTTTGATCAGCAGTAATGCATAAACTGGGTATGGTGGTGCATGCCTGTAATCTTAGTGCTCAGGAGGTGGAGACAGGAGGATTAGATGTCCAAGGTCATCTTTGACTTTATAGCAAGGTGAATGCCAGCAGGGAATACTTAAGACTCTGTCTCCTAAACAAAACAAAACATCTTAATCAAATTCCATGTGATATACAGTGGCAGGGCTATAATAAAACTATGAGCATGGTAAGGTCAAGGAGAAAATGGGACCCTCATACAGTGCTGGTAGGAATATAAAATGTATAGCTGCCAAGAAGAACTATCTGGTAGTTAGTTTGTCAAAATTGTGAACTTAAGGGTTGGAGAGATGGCTCATCAGTTAAGAGCACTGGCTGCTCTTGCAGAGGACCTGGGTTAGAATCCTTACACCCACATGGTGGCTAACAACCATCTGTAACTCCAGTTCCAGGGGATCTAGTGCCTTCTTCTCACCTCTGCAGGCATTGCACAACACAGGTACACATACATATGTGCAGGCAAAACACTCATACACATTAAATAAAAATAAGATTTTTTTGAAAGGGGGAACGTAATGTTATCTTAAGAACCAGTAATTTCACTCCTTGGCATATACACAAGAGAAAGCATACTTCCATGCAACCACTTGTACTTGAAAATTTACAGCAGCTTTATTCATACTAACTCCAAAGTGAAAACAATACAAATGTCTAACTGATGAAAGATGTTCTAGTTTGCCTTCAATGGCTGTGACAGAACACTCTGACCAATACCAACTTGGGGAGGAAAGGGTCTAATTAGTTTACATCTCCCAGGTCACAGTTCATCAGGGAGCCCAAGGTAGGAACTCAGGGCAGGAACCTGGAGGCAGGAGCTGGAGCACAGGCCATGGAGGAACGCTGCTTACTGGCTTTCTCCCTGGCCCCTGCTCAACCTGCTTTCTTATACAACATAGGCCCACCTTCCCAGGGGTGGCACCACCCACAGTGGGCTGGGCCCTCCCACATCACTCAGTAATTAAGATGATGCCCCAGGCCAGTCCAGTGGAGGCAGTTCCCCAATTGAGGCTCCCTCAACCCAGGTGTGTCAAGTTGACAACTAAAGCTGACCAGCACAAATGGATATGTAGAATAATCAATATAATGTCAGATTTGGGGGCAATAAAAAAGAATGAAATGTTGTGATGACAGGCACCCATAGATCAGTTACTCAGGACACTGAGGGAGGAACATCATCTGAGTCCAGAAGTTTGAGCCAGTCTGGACAACACAGTGAG